TGGAAAAAATTTATTTGTCATAAATATGTTCCTAAAAAGGAATAAAAAAAGCCATTTGATTCAAATAGCTTTGGAAAAATCTATGGATACTTTGCCCTTGAGCTGCGAAGCTTTTAGATTCTTTGGGTCCTTTAACTGTAGGGGCGCCCATTATTTAAAAGATTTAAAAAACTATAGCTTTCATAAAACCGTGGGGGTATCTTCATGCATTCTTCTTCATAGCACTTTACACTTAGTTTAAACTACCGAGTGAAAACAAGGTTTAATACAGACAGCAAGGAGCAGTTCTTCAGCCGGTTGTGGGTCACCTTCAACAACTGTCCAACTGTGTTTTTGATCATTTTACTTCTTTAAAAAAAAGCATTATAAGGTCCTCAGATTAATATAGTATTAATTACTACAACTTACTGTAACTAGATTGAGCGAATGGCCTCCTGTTGTTTGTTACCCTTCCAATGGTTTTAGATTCCAGGCACTATTGATAAGTAAACAGCCACCCCATACTGCACAGCATAGCATAATAGCTATGTTTGAAAATCAAGAAAACAGGAAAGAAAAGTCCATCTTTTCTCAGGATAACTCCCCTCAGAAAGAAAGCGTAGTAACAGTTTCAATATGCCCAAAAAACAGTATGTCTTGGATAAGTGTTAACTTTCAGAACCAATGTGAAACTGAAATAAAACACAGGAAACCCAGAAATTACCCAGTGTATTGCCTGTCCAATGGTGCTATCTTCCAGAAATCATAAAACATCATGGAAGGGATTCCCATTAGAAATCATGATGGTGAAAGATAAGAGGGCCTGCCTAGTGTGTAAAACACTTGGTTGCAGCATTTTGAATGTTGTGCTTGAAAAGCTATTGACTCGTGAAGAGCACCCCCCTGTCCCCATGTACCGCCTGTCTAATGGTGCTATATTGAAAAACTCATAAAAAATAAAGAAAAGTTTCACAACCCAAAGCAAAGTTGTATAAGGTGAGGGGGGCTGTCTGGTGTGTAAAACACTTGGTTACAGCATTGTGAATGTTGTGCTTGAAATGCTATTAAGTCATGAAGAAGACCCCCCTACTCCAGTGTATTACCTGTAGTGCTATCTTCAAAAAAGCAATAAAAAATAAAGAAAAGCTTCACAACCCCAAACAAAGCTGGGATAGGTCAGATGATCTGCCTAGTGTGCAAAACACTTGGCTACAGCATTGTGAATGTTGTGCTTAAAGAGTTATTGAGTCACGAAGAAGACCTCACTATCCCAGTGTATTGCATGTCTAATGGTGCCATATTGAAAATATCATTTAAAAAAAAACTAAAAAAGGTTTCACAACCCAAAGCAAGGCTTGGAAAGGTCAGGAGACCTGCTTAGTGTGTAAAACACTTACTTACAGCATTGTGGGTGCTGTGGTTTAAAAGCTATTGGCTTGTGAACAGCATTCTTCTATCCCAGTGCATAGTGCCACACTAAATAAAAGCACAAGAAAAAGAGATTCAGAACGCAAAGCTGTGTCAGTCTTCTGTGTCAAAAGTCATGGACATCATGATTTGAACATCATGGGTGCTGTTTTTAAAAAGCTGTTGAGTAAAGAATATTTTCCTGCTGAATGAAAGCAGGAAATAAAGAAAGGGTTTCAGAAATCAAACAAAGCTTTATTCCCGTCCTTACAGTCTGGGAATTTGGAGACTGTGCTGTTCTGCTTCCTATGGTCATATACGTGTTTTTCGCATGAAACTTTCCCTTGCGAAGATATGGACATACAGTAAGAATATTCGTGCGTGGTAAAAAAAATGGCTTAAAAACGACATAGTGAAGACTGTGAAAACAGTCACAATGTACTTAATGTAACTCTAGGAGGTTTCGTGAAAATGCTACAGGCATGCCAAAATCGTTTTCGAACTTCAAGCTAACTTTACCCCGGAAGGCGACCATTAGCAAGCAATGGCATGTTTTTTTTCTTTTTTTAATTTTTTTTTATTAAACATTGTATTTGTATCTGTAAATTCTATACAAGAGGATCACAATCATGTATCACAATCATGCAAAAAACGCAGCAGAAAAAAGCATTTAACTACCAGAGGTAATTAAGTAATTATGTGTTCAAATTGTATTTTTTACAGATATCGTGTTTTCCTTGCTTTAATATTTCTCAATTATTTATAGAATTTAGTTTCAACATGCATGCATTTCCTGTAAAAAATAAAACTCGGCACTGTTTTTACAAAACAAAAAAAAACGTTTTTCTTTTAACAACATTTCGAGTACCTCTGGCAGTCATGAAAAGACATACACAAAAGCAAATAACTAACTCTAAGATTGTCTAATTATTGACTTTTTCAAAGAACCAGAACTATAACAGTCCTTTCCAATTCCAGTCCAAACTAACACTAAATAAACACTAGTATATACTGCTGTAACGAATAACACCAAACATAATTATTAACTGAGCAGTCACTGGGAGCGGATCTCCTTCCCTCCACAGAGGCCCTCGCTCCCACAAAGCAGGCTCTCCTCCCCTCTCTTCTGGCAGCTTCAACTTGGGGCCACAGCTGGTTCCTGGTGCTCCTGTCCGCGGCAGACAGGTCCTCTGCAAACCTCAGTTTGTTCTCATTCAAATACTCATTCCCTCTCGCCGCTCGCCACAGCATGTCCCTCGCCGTCCTCTTGGTGAACTGTATTATAATCGATCTGGGGCGCACTTGCCCGACATGTTCGCTCTCCCGAGCCTGTGAACAGTGTCAATGGCCGATATCACGTCCTCCTGGTCCGGCAGGGTCCTTCTACAGATACCCTTCACTGTTGCAACAATGTCCTCATCGCGCTCCTCCTTAACTCCAAGTCATTTTAAATTCCATCGTCGACGGTGTCTTTCTGCATCGTTCACTTTCATTTCAAGTTCTTTAATATGTTTTTCTTGTTCGGTATTCACTCGTTTAAGGTCTTTTACTTCTTTCTTTAAGTCTTCAACCTCTTTAAACACAAAGTCTACGGACTTTTTAAGACCTTCGATTGCGACTGTATTAGATCGAATCATTTCCTTCAGCTCACCCAAGCTCTGTGCCATCATGTTGAAGATGTTGGTCTGGAGCTCCTCCAGCGTCAGGTCGCCCCTTCCTCTCTTGGCCGCCGGGGTTTTCACAGGTGTGCTGGGCAGGGACTCCGGCTCTTCCTCCTGCAGATGAGTCTCACTCGGGTACGAGCGCATCTCCAGCACTCTTTCCACGTCCCCTCCAGCTGCTTCACTTTTCCCTTTAGTTGCCATCGATTTTCTTGTAGTGCCATACATATACGATTGAGGTATCTTAGACTTCTCCTTCGAAGACCCAGCACTACTCATATCCAAATTCTTAAACCTAAAAAAAAAAGTTTTTTTTCTTTCAATTATAACCGAAGTTTAAACAACAACAAGTACTTATTTTTCTGTAGTAAAAAAAACAACAAAACATAACATTCAAGTCATGAAAAACTCAAAAAAACTCCTCAACCACTAAACTTTACCTCCCACCTGAACGCCATCTTGAACGCTCCTCCCAACGGCATGTTCTTACAAAATGGCTTTAGCTAGCACTTTTATTTTTAAATCTGAAGAAGTAATCGGTTTCTCATTGTGTCCTTTTTAAATGAATATGTAAATCGAGCCACGTATTTTAAAAAGATAGGATTAACAACCTTCTATATCATAAGACCATTGTTTTTTATATATTTAATAGGCAAAACAAAAATCTTAAATGTGAAACAGCACCAGGCTTTTTTAAAGGGGGCACTATGCACTACGTTGACCCAGGTGGCTTATAACGCAACTGCAAAACAACATTGGAAACTTTACTGTCTCACGCATGCAGACCTCAGAAGTTAACAAACACAGGTACTTTTAATTACTTGATGTGATGAAAACCACAGTCCGGTGGGGTGAATGTTCTGAATTTTAATATAGCAAATACAGAAAAATACAGGAGTATGACGCAAATACAGAAAAATCACAGCAACCAGATCTTTCAAATGGTGACCTCTGATAAGTGTAACGGGAGCCGCTCCAGGAACAGGGAATAAAAACCAGGGTAACAAGGCCAGGCGCTCCGGACCCCGGGGTGAAGCCTGTGCCGTCGGGCCTCCATCTCCCACTGTTGAGCCAGGAATAGCGAGAGCGCCAGGCTTTAATATTGACAGACAAAACGGGGCAGGTGCACATAATCGACTAAAATACGAAAGTGTCGGAGCGCCCTTGAGAAAAGGGACGAGGATATGACAAGGTGACCCCAGCGTCAGAGAGTTGAAGTGATTCATGATTTATTTTCTGCATCTCTAGCGAACAGCTCTTTGAAAGCTTCATTTGATCGTTACACATGCTAGTGAAACTTGAAATATATGTGATTGTGAGCAAGCTAGAAGTTACTCCCCTGTTTTTAGGCTACATCCGCAGCTGTTCTGATTAAGGTCTGATATTGGTGACAATTTTCATTTTCCTGCTCACACAAACGCACAGAAGATGCTGGTACTAAATGCAAAATCAACCTCTGGCCCCCACCGGGCAAACAGAGAAACAGAATTGCAGAATTGTTACTCTCACAGCGGTAATGCGCTTGAGCTCGGCAGACGGGGTTCCTGGAGGTGAAAGTCACCGTGCATGGTCACGTGATCTCCGGAAAAACAAGGCGCTATATTTCGGGAAAGAAAGCAGCACTGCTGACTGTAGGGGGGGCAACTTCACGGAGCTCTCGCACTCTGGCGCATGAAACAGACAGTATTTAGAGTGATTTAGTACAGAGAAGTCCAGAAGACAAATATCTCAGTTTTCTCAGTCCTGACTGGAAATCACATGACTGTAAAGAATCACCCTTTCTACCTGGGCTCCGCCTCCACACTGGGCATAGCCCCACGTAGTGTTTTAACTGTTCACAAATCCAGGCTGTGTGGATCTGATTGGATCACTCTGTCTCTGGGCGTGTTCCGTGCTGTCTCAGCTTCAGGTATAAAGGATGTGAACAGAGCAGCAGTGAGTCACTCTGTGGAACACACACACAGACAGCAGCAACTCCAACTCCAACTCCAACTCCAACTCCAACTCCAACTCCAACTCCAACTCCAACTCCAACTCCAACTCCAACTCCAACTC